TGTCTGGGAGACAGGTACGAACTTGGAGAACTCGACGCCGTTCTTGTTGAAGACAGCGGCACACTTCTCTGCAGCAGGTCCTGAGGTCTGGGGAGTACGAGAGAACACGAAGCCGAACTCTGCTTTGAAGTTGCCGGTGCTGATGCAGGAGTAGACGCAGGAGTAAGTATCGTAGTCAGTCTCGATGACCTCGTAGGGTGAAGCAATCACTGTCGAAAGATATTATATATATGTATATGTATATATGTATATAGAAGATACAATATCACCACATTTTACAGAAATGGATCCAAATGGAATACTGAAGACACAGAGTGTAAAACAGACTATTATTTAGACAACACTTCGCTTTGGGTAAAGCTTTATCAAGTCATTTTATGTCATACCAACACTTGATAAAGCAATTCGCAGAATGAAACATTCTTCCCCCTAAAAAAGCTTGTTTTGCAGTCTTTATCTTTGATTCTGTAGAAATACCAACAACACTTGGTAAGAATTGCGAGCACGATATGAATCGTATGTCCTGTTCTCAGACCGAGCCACGGGGGCGTTGACCACCGATACCCTCTCCAGGTAAACTCCAGGTATCAGTACCAATAGGGCTTATACCCGCCAATGTATAATAACTCGTTCATTCCTGTGCATTATGTTGCATGACCATGGTGAAAATTATGAACGAGGTAAGACGGAATCAACCAGAACTTTCTGGCATGTACAGTGCAAAGTGAGGTGTCCTTCAGCATGTAGACAATAATATTGATCTTGAAATGAATTGAAAAGGTTGACTTTTGTTTGTAAGGACAGGGTTAGAGAAGCTCGTAAATAGTTCATCACTGAGTTCCTAATTCACTCGGATGAGAAAAGTAGGCATTGAACACATGTACAATTGATATGAAATATATGTATGTTGCTTCGTAAGTACATAACCTTATTAGCCTTATTTTCAACATATACATTATTGTGGGCTGTTCCAGTACTTACGTGAGGGAGCATCAATGAGCATGTGAGCGGCTGGGAACTCCTTAGTTGGGTAGATCTTTAAGTCTATCTTAAGATACTCATCATCAGGACTGAAGCCAGCGGTGGTCACCTTGAAACCATAGTCACTCTTGGAGTAGTCATAGGTGGAGAGGATGCATCGACTGAGTGGCTGGAAGGGATTTTCGATGACCTGGGTCTGGTACCATCGCCCAGCGTACTGCAATACATATTTTTTCTTTTGAATAACGAATCGAGAATCATGACTAAACAACATCCTAATAATTATAGAATATATATCTTTATAATTCAAGTATAGATCGTAATATATCTTCTGCTAACCTTCTCGAGGTCGAAATTATCCTGGGTAGGCAACTGAGGCACATTGCCAGTTTAAGAAAACTTGGAATACGTGAGCAGATACACCGCCAGGAGCAGTAATGATGACTGTTTCTGAAACATGATTAATGTTTCACTTCACACTGACGACACTCGTCTCATTTCCCTCGTTTATAAAGGTGTATACATAATAAAAAAAGTGTGGGAGAAGCACTGATCGCAAGCGTTTTTAAAAATTATTTCCTATTGTATTTTAAAAATTATTGCTTTTATAGTAAGACATTGTTTTCTGTTTATTCCTCTGCATTTATGATGACAAATGACATCGTCATACTTAATATATATATTATATTTTGCATGGATTTTTAGGATTTTTTTTGGAATAAATACTGAGTAATAGAGGCGGGCTCAAGAGAAAATTCCTGGAAACCGACCTTGGCAATTTACATATTTTCGATCTGTGTTGAACCGCGGCTGAAGTATATACAAGTGTGCAAGGTACGTGTGTTCCAGTAACAGCTTTTACCCCACACCATAACCCACTACCATACTGCGGTCCTTGTGGCCACCGTCGATGCTGACAAGATCCCAATTATGTGGTCCCAGGCAAGTGTCCTGTTGTGGTCCAGACCTAACTGTGGGCCTCCAGCAAGTCCCAATCACGCAAAGTAAGTTCTAAAAAATAATTTATACTGAAACAATACAAAATCATAACCATTTAATCAATGGTCGCAAACATTTAGAGCCTCAAATGTTTGTTCATTGTTTATTGAGACGCAGCTCATAACGGCGGATAGAGTGACTAAAATTTGAGAATGCATTTCTATACCATTTTAAAGTGTAAATAATTGTTCTCATTACCGAATTAAGTTAGTTATGACGTTCTTATGGAAAGGGATCAGTCCTCATTCCTTCATTTGCTATAAATTTTCAATAGTTTTTCTTCAGTGCAAAATATTCCATATTTTATTTATAAATATAATTTGTAAGAGTTGAGGAGGCCGTGAACAATGTTTTCTGAGTGGTATATATATGAGGCTTTTAACCAGCCATTCCTAAAATGAACAGCACCATGACGTAACTGATCTTATAAAAACTAAATAATGCGTCCATTTGATGTTTGATCCAACATATTCAGTGGCTTATAAGTTTTTGCCAATATGTTTTTTAAGATCTTATTATATTTAAAAATGAATATTACGTGGGACTATTTTGAATATTATATTATTTATATAATTAAAACACACAGTATGGCTGGTGTGTGGTATCAGATCGCACTTACGAAACCTTGTTTCAGCCGCCATCAAGTGTGGTTCTCAATGATTATTCCTTCGTAAGTCTGTTTCCTCCTGTTTTACATCTTAGTATCCTAGACACAGTGTTTTGATACAAACTTACATTAATGTGAAGTTTAAAATTAGAGCTGGAGAGGGTGTCCGGGGGGGGGAGGGGGGGCAATGCCCCCCGCGGCCCGTCTGTGACCAGGAAATTATGTAAAATATTTATATTGATTCCATTTTATACAGGTGAAAAGCAGTTTAATGTATTTCATCTGGTGTGAGTGCTAGGGTAAGTTTTGTTTGAAGATCCATGGTAAAGTGTATCCTAGTCCCGTGGTACACACATGCCTGAGCTCAGTGTAGACTTCCAGCATGTATACAACGAGATTAATTGTACTCTAACACTGTAAGTATTTGTTGAGTGCTGCAGAATATGGTACTCTAACACTGTAGTATTTGTTGAGTGCTGCAGATTAGCTTCATACCTTCCATGTTCATAATAGAAATAATACATCCTTCTTCATGATGTCTTCGTGTCTATGTATTTTGTGTATTTTAGGATACTGGTTTCTGTGAAAGGCTTAATTGGATTTATGCTGTGTATTCTAATTTACCCATTTTTTTGGGGGGGGGACAAATTTGATAATTTGTAAACGCCCTCTTCTGTTTCCCTTCAAATATTCAGTGCTAGCATTTAACTGCAATATAAAAACCAAAAGCCGCAACTCTGCACTATTCATTAAGACACAGGAGACTGGGGTTTCATCAATACGAGGAAACTTACCTCGGATCGCACAGCGACCGAATTACATCTAATTCAAATAAATAATTTAGTTTTTTTTCCATCAGCATTTCCCCGCCCCGTACGTCATCCTAAGACGGGACTACACTAACTATGCCTGTGTGTACTCCATGCATCGGTTTAAAACTCTGATTACTACAACAGACGTTGCTTTAACTTAGCTCGCTCACCCACTCCGGAAGAACAAGTTTCGTGAAGCAGTGTGAAGATACCTTTAGAAGCTTCAATTTTGACACTTCAGGCTTCCGCTTGACCAAGACCGGCACACACACCGCCGTGATTATGACAACCAGAAAGCTCCTGAGTGCTTTATCAAGAGTAAATAATCTAACCATGTCGTCTATTGATGATTTAATACGTTATGAATGAGAAGTTTAATCCGATCTATAAAGATTAACGAAAGTTAATATATATTTTTTGAGTGTTTTTGATAATCCTACTAAATGAAAATTGCAAATAAATACGCATTCAGAATCTTGTTTCCTTCACACAAAACTTACATATAACGTGAGTTCCTAGTGGCAGGAAAGGATGTTTATTCTCCACTATAATTAAAATAAACATGAATAAATGTATATTTATTGTTAAGAGTGACTTTTAGGGTTACTAGGGTTCTCTACAATATATGCTGTTTATTCTATGAGCTGTTTTGTGTATACCTGAATAAACTTACTATAGGAAACGGAGTAGGCACAGTGGAAAGATTTGCTATTACGAAATACAGATCTGTCCACTCACGAAATATAGTTATTAGTAAGGAGAGTGAGACAGGGTAAAAATTGAAGATGGTATGGTTCACAGACCGACACGTTGATAAATTAGACACATTTTCAACTTTTTGGGGTATCTTTATTGAGGAAACGTGCGAGGTCGTCACACAGTGGCTTCATCAGTCCATACATCAGGAGAAGTAGAAGAACAGGAGGATCATAACACTTGGGTATTCTTCGCTTGCCTAACCTTGGGGCACGACCTACTTAACATTGGACAAATGTGACACCACCTACGTCTGCTGCACCTCCCGCCTACGGTTTATAAGCTCCTTCTCCGCTCATATCCCGTATTCTATTCAAGTATTGATGGACTGACCACATCGAACTCAAGGCTGAGGAATGATTACCCAATTCTCCTCCTGATCTTCTAGCATTCTCCTTGTATGGACTTGATGAAGGGCCCCTGTGGGCGAAACGTTTTCCTCAATAAAGATACCCAAGAGTTTGCACATGTGTCCTAATTTATCAGGGTAAAAATTGCACTGGTGTAGATAATAACATAACTTTTGTCAGAGTCCTCATCTGTTGGCCCTACAGCATCTTGCAATAAAGACAGGAAGAAGAAACAGTGTTTTTTCATGGGTCTATGATGGAAGAATATAGTCAGTTAATTAAACAGTATCATGTTAATAATGCAAAATCCACATTTTTGTGGTTTAATTATTAAAGGTTTATGATAGCGGGAAAACCGTAAGAGAGGAAGCTGGTGTGCGTTTGCATCAGAATATTAACACGTTTCGCCCTGTGAGGTTTGTCAATAATCCAATTCAAAGACGAAGGTAGTCAGCATACACAGGGCAGAGAAGTCAGGTGTGGGAGGGCGCTTGTCAGCTTTTCGTGTGGCGGTCAGTTACCGAACTACAGTGTAAATTCAGCAACACACCAGTTCATTGATTGTGACCAGATATATACATGTAAATGGTTCGTTTAAATTACCTTTGTAATTTGTTTCAGCCACATCAAACTATTTGGGAGCCCCAGTCCCCGGACCCATGATGTACCTCTGTAATCTTTTGACTACCGAGCCCATAGGATGGTATTAGGTGCATAATAAAAACATTAAACTAACTAGGCAGAAATGTTGAATAACTAACCTCTCTCTCGGCCCTTCCAATCTCCTAGAACCTGTGATCAATGTCACAGGGCAGCGCCCTCTTTTTTATATACAAATCGGTTTTTGATTACTAACTTAGTATCTCCCCCTCCCCCCCACCCATCTCATTACAAAGGTAATGAACTCAGTAAGTCCGGTCACAATCATGACAAGTTACAAACGGGAATTTTCAGATTACAGAGGTTACGTATGGGTCCCAGGGACTGGCCCCCAAAATTTTTTGATAGCTGAACTAGGTACAAAGGGGAAGAGCTCACAAATTCAAAGGGAATGAATTCTGTAGAATGGTTTTTTACGTTTATCATGGGACAACAGAAAAAATAAAGAGTAAAAGCAATTTTCCCCTTCCACCCGGTCCAACTGTAAAAGAGTTATTGGGGCAAAAAATTGAATTTTTGAGTCACCCCACACACACACACACACACAAAAACCCCCACCACACACACACCAAAAACCACACACCAACACACACACACACAACACACACACACACACACTTTTGTTTAAATTTTTATGCACCCCCTACCCCTCCTGTGGGGGGTAGTCAAAAGATTAAAAGGGACATAAGGGTCCAGTGACTGGACCCCCAAAGTTATGAAAGCTGAACTTTTTACAAAGGAATGAACTCCAGGTAGATCTGGTCACAACATGGCAAGTTACAGAGGTAATGAATAGCACATTTACAGTCATGAGCAAATTAAAATAAGAACCACGATACTCCACCCCTGGCACAATTGTAAGAGTTATAAATACAAATATTAAGTGGGTCTACACCCACACTAGCGCGCGCGCACCAAAAAAAAACCCACACGAGGGCGCAGCACGGACATGTGCACACGAGCGTAAAAAATTTATGCTACACACAAGGGACCCCACCCCACAACCCCACACCCCCACACCCACCCAACACCCACCACACAACACCCTCCACACACCCACACACACCCCTCAACACACCCACACACACAC